AGTCTGAGGTGTACACAGGGACATTAGTTCATTTGGGTGATTTTCTGCTGAGGAAGGCAGAATATTTTATAACTTTCCTCATCTGCTGTCAAGGAAGGCACATACAGGTCTCCATCTGCAAAGCATCCAGTTCTGGTCCCATTTGATCTAGTGACTATTCAGAAGGAATAATTTGTTTACCTCCCAGTGACTGAACACCAGCTGGGGGCTGGCCAGGCCACTTGTCCTTTTTCTTATTTCATCAGCAAAGCCAAAGCTTTCGGCCACGGGCAGCACAGCCTTGATAATGAACATGTCTGTTCCTTCTTTCATCTCCTCCAACAGGACGCGACCTTTCTCTCTTTGACAGGACACCATACACACGACCTGTGGAAATGTTCACAAGAAAATAAAAGCCACTAAGTCAGTCAAATGGTTTCACTCAGTTTCCACAAAACACAAGGACTTCATTTGAAAATGCCAGCAAGAAGCTTGGTGTGAGAAAAAATAAACTTGACTCCTTGATAAAGATAAAAAGCTAATTGATGCATTTTATGTACTCAGAATTTGAATATGTCTGCTCTTCTGCAACAGCAATTTTCTGAATACTGACTCACAATCTGGTGACACTGAGTGATATGTAAAGAGAATGTTTGAAAATTTTAATAAAGAAGAGCTGCTTAAAATACTTTACTGATTCCTTTGATCTGAGAAGACTATCCAATTTATGGGTAGATGGGGGACATAGCAAAAAAACCATGCAATTCTGCTAAAGCACTTAAAGCGATACTACAGGTTATTTTTTTTTGTAAAATAACAAACATGTTATACTTATCTGCTCTGTGCAATGGTTTTGCACAGAGCAGCCCAGTTCCTCCTCTTCTCGGGTCCTCTGCCGGCAGTCCAGGCTCTTCCTTTCTGTTGGTGCCTCCATAGTAAGCAGCTTGCTATGGGGGCACCCGAGCAGGCATGTTCCCAAGCCGCGGCTTCATGTGTCCATTCACACATGGAGCCGGGCTTGGCCCTACCCCCCCATCTCATTGGATGTCTGGCTGTGATTGACAGCAGCGAGAGCCAATGCCTCCCACTTGCTGTCTCAGCCAATGAGGAGACAGAGACCCGGGACAGCCGAGGCTGTCTTGCACATTGCTGGATCGCAATGGAGTTCAGGTAAGTATTGAGGGGGCTGAGGGGACTGCTGCACTTAGGTTTTTCACCTTCAAGCATAGAATGCATGAAGGTAAAAAACCTTAAGCCTTTGCAACCACTGTAATCTAAACTTCACATCAGAAAGTTTACTTACTGACCTTCATTTTTTTAAATACTATTATTTTAAAAATGATTAAAGAAAATTAATTTAAAAAAAAGTACAGAATGTGTTTTTTTTAATAGAAAATTAAAAACAAAATGTTTCAAAAATAAATTAGGCAGTGAAACCCTTATATTGGGTGAGATTTAAACAATACACCACTAGGGGATTTACTAAAACTAGAACATGCACAACGGTGCAGTTCTGCATAGAAACAAATCAGCTTCCAGGTTTAAGGGTAGCTTCACACCTATGCAGGTTGCGTTTGACTCGTATCTGCATTGCACTTTGTGTTTATGCACCTGCGGTTTTGCTGCGTTTTGCGTTTTATTTATTGTTGCTAGGCAGATTTAAAATGCGAAACGCATCAAAAACACGGCAAAAATGCATCAAAAGCGTAATATATACTTTTCTGCATTGTTTCCATTGAAGTCTATAGAACCACAAACACAACTTTTTGCATTCAAAAAAGTCCCAGACCCTTTCCCAAAAAACTCACCGGGTGAAAACACGGAGATGTGAACAGGTCCCATAGGAAATCATGTTAAATAGACTGTACTGCATTTCTGCAAAACGCTGCAGAAAATGCTTACGTGTGAACCTAGGGCTACTTCAAAGCTTAATTGAACAAACTGAAGGTAGAAGCTGATTGGCTACCATGCACAGCTGCACCAGATTTTGAGAGCACCAGTTTTAGTAAATCAGCTCCCCTCATTCCCCCCAATGTCTTACTTGCTGTACCAATAAGAACACATTATAATGTAGAGAACACAGGGGTCATAACCGTGTGCCCCAAGTCTGTTACATACACTGAGAACATAGAATACAGTTTTGAATCCTTTTAGTTAACAAAAAATGGAGCATAACTAGATACTATAAGGGTTTAATCTGGAACAATTGTAGCCATGTACTGATTATTGCAGTTGCAAGTACATTTTTTTTTTTTTTTAGAACACTTACACTTTTAAGTTGATGTCATACATACACAAACACATAATATACTCGAAGTGAGCCCACAACAAATCAGTCAATTCCTGGCTAGCTCTCTGTCTGTTTAAACCGCTGATAGAAACTTTTACAAATGCAAATTTCTAAAAATGGATTTCCTGTGCACCAGGTGGAAAACAAAGTAGGGATTAGTGGTAAGGCAGCCCATTTTCACTCTCCCCGGTCTCCAGGCCCAAGAGAACACTAATCTAGATTCCCGTCCATCCAACACAATGCCAACTTCTCCTGGCATAAGCCAACCTCTCCTTAGCTTGTGGAGGAAGACCTAAGATAGTTCCTATCTCAAACCCTGGGATGCTAGATAGACCTTACCCCAAATCAACTCCTAAGCCATCTGGAGCTGACAGAGATCTATATAATAAAGTGTGTAATTGTTAGAACCTCTGTCAATTTTTTTCCTTGCTTTCCCTTAGACACAACAGAAAAGGAGTGGAAATCACTCCAAAGTGATGGGAAATTACCTTCTATAGAGTTGGTACTGGAACATGTGTCCACAGTGGAAGATTTCCCATCACCTTCTGTTTCAATCACAATGGTAAAATGTGAGATATCCCACCAACAACTGTTACCAAGACAAATCATGAGGATGGGCAGAAATGAAAATCTGACCTAGGTTCTTACCATTTCCTTCTCATTCCAAAACGGAAAAGTTTTGTCTAGCACATTGTAGTGTTCCTTCAAATCTTGGATGAAGGCGTACAAATGGGAGGTGGAAAAGTCACTGCTGACTGATTCATCTGTGTAAATTTCATTTTGAGCTACTGAGTTGTGCAGTCTTTTTACAACAAAGATCCAATGAAACGGGGGTAATATAAAAAAAAAAAAGCTTAACAGCTCCAACTGCTGACTGAGAAGGGAAATACAAATATTAAATATTTCAGTTATCTGACTAAATAATCTTTATCTTACTTTTTGATTCTGGACATTACAAAGAACAGCAATAGATACAAAATCACTACACATTGGGGTTGATTCACTCAAGCTAGAGACTGCAAAATCTGGGGTAGCTCTGCCTAGAAACCAATCAGCTTTCACGGTTTATTGACAATGCTTCATTGAACAAGCTGAAGTTAGAAAATGATTGGCTACAAAGCACAGCTGCATCAGATGTTGCACTCTCCAGCTTTAGTAAATCAACCAAAGAGCCTTTTACTTAGGTGCAAATATATTTTATGCAACGAGAAAATTGTGTTATTCACTATTTTTATTATTATAGGTTTTTTTTATAGTGTCAACAATTTACACAGCACTTCACGTACTGTACATTCACATCATTCTCTGCCCTAAAGGAACTTACAGTCTAAGGTTCCTTTCTCACAAGCCAACATACAACATACCAGGGCCAATTTAGACAGGAGTCAATTAACCTAAGAGTACATAGAGGAAACCTATGTAAACACAGGGAGAATATGCAAAATCCATAGAAGTGGTGTCCTGGTTGGGATTCGAATCATGACTCTAGTGCTGCAAGGCAGAAGGGTTAAGCTGCTATGCTGCTCTCACCACTATTACAGTGCCTTGAAAAAATATAAATACCCCTTGAAATGTTCCACATTTTGTCATGTTACAATCAAAAAATGTAAACATATTTTATTGGGATTTTATGTGACAGACCAACACAAAGTGGCACATAATTGTGAAATGGAATGAAAATGATTTTCAAACTTTTTTACAAATAAATATCTGAAAAGAGTGGCGTGCATTTGTACACAGCACCCTTCACACTCTGACACCCCTAACTAAAATCTAGTGGAACCAATTGCCTTCAGAAGTCACCTAATTAGTAAATAAAGTCCACCTATGTGTAACTTAAGCTCATTATAATATAGCTGTTCTGTGAAGCCCTCAGAGGTTTGGTAGAGAACATTAGTGAACAGCATCATGAAGGCCAAGGAACACACCAGACAGGTCAGGGATAAAGTTGTGGAGAAGTTTAAAGCAGGGTTAGGTTATAAAAAAAAATATCCTAGGCTTTGAACATCTCATGGAGCACTGTTCAATTTATCATCCGAAAATGGCAAGAGTATGGCACAACTGCAAACCTACCAAGACATGGCAGTCCACCTAAGCTGACAGGCCTGGCAAGGAGAGCATTAATCAGAGAAGCAGACAAGAGGCCCATTGCAAATCTGTAGGAGCTGCAGAGATCCATAGCTCAGGTGGGAGAATCTGTCCACAGGACAAATATTAGTCGTACACTCCACAAATCTGGCCTTTATAGAAGTGGCAAGAAGGAAGCCACTGTTGAAAGAAAGCCATAAGAAGTCCCCTTTGCAGTTTGCGAGAAGCCACGTGGGGGACACAGAAAACATGTGGAAAAAGGTGCTCTAGTCAGATGAGACAAAAATTTTACTTTTTGGCTTAAAAGCAAAATGCTATGTGTGGCGGAAAACTAACACTGCACATCACCCTGAATACACCATCTCCACAGTGAAACATGGTGTCTGCAGCATCATGTTAACTAGTTGCCGACCGCAGATAGCCGAATGACGGCTAAACTGCGGCCGGCCAGTTCTGAGTGGACGTCATATGACGTCCTCCCAGAACGCGCTCTCCTGCGCGCCCCAGGGGGCGCGCACCCGGCGATCTCCATGATCGCTGTGTCCTACGGACACAGCTGATCACGTGATGTGGTAAAAGGCCAATCATACCGGCCTTTTACCACGTGATCAGCGGTGTCCAATGACACGCTGATCACAGGGAAATGCAAGTGCCGGTTCTCGGCTGCACTTTCCTCACGCTGTCAGATCGTGAGGAAAGTACTGCCGAGAACCGGCAGTTGTCAGAGCAGGGATCGGCACCGATCATCAGGGCACTGATGATCAGTGCCCTGATGATCGGTGCCCAGCAATGCCACCCGCAAGTTCCGCCCACCTGTGCCCAGCAGTGCGCCCACTAGCTCCGCCCACCTGTGCCCAGCAGATCACCCACCTGTGCCCAGCAGTGCACCCACCTGTGCCCAGCAGTGCACCCACCTGTGCCACTCTGCAGTGTAACACACCTGTGCCCAGAAGTGCCACCTACCTGTGCCCAGCAGTGCCACCCACCTGTGCCCACCCACCAGTGCAGCCCAGCAGTGCTGCCAGTCAGTGCCACCAGTCAGTGCCCAGGGGTTGTGCCAGTCAGTGCCCAGCAGTGATGCCAGTCAGTGCCGTCTATCAGTACCCATCATCAGTGTCACCTATCAGTGCCCAGAAGTGCCACCTACCTGTGCCCACCAGTGCCACCCACCAGTGCTGCCCACCAGTGCAGCCCAGCAGTGCTGCCAGTCAGTGCCACCAGTCAGTGCCCAGGAGTTGTGCCAGTCAGTACCGCCAGTCAGTGCCCAGCAGTGATGCCAGTCAGTGCCGTCTATCAGTACCCATCATCAGTGTCACCTATCAGTGCCGCCTATCAGTGCTGCATATTAGTGCCGCCTATCCGTGACACCTCATTAGTGCTGCCTATCAGTGCCCTTTAGTGCTGCCTATCAGTGCCCATCAGTGCCGCCTATCAGTGCCCATCAGTGCTGCCTCATCAACGCACATCAGTGAAGGAGAAAAAAAATACCTGTTTGAAAAATTTTATAATAGAAACAAAGAAACTTTTTTTTTTCAAATTTTTTGCACTTTTTTAATTTATAGCGCAAAAAGTAAAGCGCCCAGTGGCGATTAAATACCACCAGAAAAAAATGATCAAAATTTCATATGGGTACAATGTTGCATGACCGCGCAATTGTCAATCAAAGTGCGGCAGCGCTGAAAGCTGAAATTTGGCCTGGTAAATAAGGGGGTATAAGTGCCCGGTAGGCAAGTGGTTAAGGGGCCTTTTAAAATAATGTCAGAAAGGTAGTAAGTACGATCCTCTTCACTTTAGGTGAGGTCCTAAAGTTAACTAGAGTATTTTCAGTGAGTAAATTTAATATTTATCAGAAAGTTGTTTATGCGTCTTTTGCCTGGTACATTTGCATAATGTCCCTGTAGTAATGATATATCAGATGATGTAATGCCCATTTCTGCACAAAAGCTGTAAATACAAAATAGCCACATCGGGATAGCATTGTTTTTTTATTAGTCTGCTTGACTTCCACAGATCAGGATAACACTAAAGCACTATTACTTAGCTATTCTAAAGGAGTATAATGAGAAGGGTGCAAAGGCTGGGTCTAGCCAAGTAAGTGGACCAACTGTCCACTGAGGCATTAAAAAACCTTTTCTTCTCTGGGATCTCAGGGCAGCTGGTCTGGTGGCCACATGCCTAGTGTGACATGACGTAGTTAGCTCTCGTGGTAGATTTGTTATTTCAGTGACCTATTTTTAAGGGCTTGGTAGCCCACTTTTATTTAAAAGAAAGGGAAAGTTCACCAGCGCATGATTTCCCATGCAGGGAATCTTCTCCAACTTCAACAGCAATCCATGCACTGGAAAAATACCGAGCCACCTGGCTCACATGCTCACTCAGCTTCAACTGCAGTACCTCTCCTGGATACTTGGCTCTCTAGCCCAGCCTTTCTCAACCAGGGTGCCCAGGCACCCTGGGGTGTCTTGAGGTTTTTTCAAGGGTGCCTTGGCAAAATGTCTAAAAATGGTCTAAAACTATATAAGCCAGCGGGTGGAACAAGCCTGCCTTTTAGTTACACAAAGTCATTGTTTTTTGTTGTTCACCATTATGACCTTCTAGCCACCGGCGCCCTGGCAAAAAATACATCAGTTGATAAGGAGGATGTCAGCTACCCGCACAGCATCCTAGTTTGACACTCTCCATCAGTGCTGGGGTCACATTAGTTCAGTGAGGGAGAAGAGAAACCCTGGGTTTCTAGTCAGTACCACTGTGCAAAAGTGTATTTGCTTTGGAAGAATAAATCCCCTCTAATGTTGGGTGTCCTACATGTGTGGATGTTGCTGTGTTATATAAAACTATTAGAGTAGTTTTTTTACATCTTAGAGTGCGGTGCCCTTTTAAAATGACGAAGAGTCTTGAGGCACCTCATTTTAGAATGGGGTGCCTCAAGACTATCCATAATTTTAAAGGGTGCCTTGGGACTGTCCTTAATTTTAACGAGTGCCTTGACTGAAAAGGGCTTGAGAAACACTGCTCTAGCCTTTAGACACAGTGCCCTGCTGTAAGGCCCACCTCTGGCTTACGGATGGTGGTTCTTCTGACATCCTGATAGGAGCTGACCTGACTCCTGGAACGGAGACCTCTGTTTCTTGGCTTCCAGCTGTGTCCTCTGCTCCCTCGATGACACCTCTGTCTCCCCCACTGGGAGCAATCTCCAACTGGGAGCCCTGAGCTATTCTCAGACCTGAGTATATACCGACACCTCACACCCGTGTACTCCAGATTGCAGGTGTCTAACAAAACCCAGAGACGGGATTGAATGTTCTGATCCACAGCTGCAGAATCCAGAGAAAGTCAAATCCGCAGCTTTCTCTGCCCAGAAACATTAGTCTGGAACATCGCATTTACTTTAAATGAGAATCCTGTATTTCATTTTCCTATCTTCTCACATTGACAGAGTCTCGTCCTGTCACACTAGGCATTGGGTCAGCGAAACATTTCTAAAATCTAGTGATGGTATGAATAGCAGCAAAACCTTGTGCATAAAGGTTGATATCAAGAAATCTACAAGCATTACATTAAAATATAGCATTAAGTATTTAATAAAAGATGCTTTCATCAATTTATAAACGTGTTCAAGAAAAAATGCATTTACACAGCTGTCTTCTGTAACAAAATAAAGATGTCATAGGACTTCTCTTGTATTGGAAATTTAGACTCTCTTGTAAGGCAGTTATGTGTTAAAGGGGATCAGGCATGGAAACCCAGAGAAAGGGCCTTTTGTGTCTCACACTGTAACCAGATATTTTTATTTATTAAACACAGCCAGTTCTCCCGCAGACTCTTTCTACACAGGACACTTTCTGAACTATTTATACCAATAGCAGCCCGTCAGCATCCACCTGGTATGACTCAGTGAAGTGAATTCTAAAGGGTCGCTGGGCATTATTGCTCTTTGCATGATTAAGTGATTTCCTCCTTGCAGTGGTTACTAAATATGTCCACTTATGTTTAGAATCCATCAGCATAGGAAAGTACAAGGGAGCACCAATATTCCTGAATGGGCTTTATAGGTGATGTGTAGCCATCCAAATAAAGCTAGTTTAAAATTTTTAAAATCAAGTCAAGTTGTGAAATTATATGTGAAATCATGTCTCTCTTCTGCAGCAGCGTTACATCTATAGACCCTTAGTGGGTGGTACGTGGTAAGTGGGGGTTGTACGTAATGGCCAGAGCTTGTCAGCAGCCAATTGTTGAGGAGAGCTTGAAGCCAGAAAAAGATAAATATTGGGATGACATTTTTTAGAAAAATATTATTATTAGTATACAGGACTTATATAGCGCCAACAGTTTGCTCAGCGCTTTACATTATGGAGGGAGACAGTACAGTAACAATACAGTTCAATACAAGAGGGATTAGAGAGCCCTGCTCCTTGGAGCTTACAATCTAGGAAGTTTAGCTGCTTACAAGATAATTTGCAAGTGGCTACAATTCAGCTGTAAAAGCTAAATAAGACCTATAGAGGTGATTTTTCTTCCAAAGAACATCCAACCAAATAACAATTTTTTTGTGGAGTTATTTACAAACATGATGCAAAGATATTATAAAATATAATATGTACATACATAATGTTAATGCTGATCCCTTCACTACTGCATACTTACATTGGTGCACCTTGGACCAACATACATATCTCATACCTAAGGTGGCGCTGGAGAAGTTGACAATCACAGTGATAGCCATGATCGGTCCTGTGTGAGCGGCTTCCCTTCTACACACTAACTACAGGAGGTCACTCATTAGCATTTCCATCATTCAAAGAAAACCTTGATTTTTTTTTTTTTAACTGAATACAAGGCATTCTCTGGTTGGAAAAGGTGTATATCGTAACCTCACCAAGCCTCCTCTCCACCCTCTCTGAACAGAGAACTCCTTGCATTCACTGAAAAAAAATCCCCAATGTGTTCTATGATCAGAAAAAAAAAAAAAAAAAAATTCTCCCATTGGACTTTTAAAGCAGCTAAACACCACATATGTGTAAGTATAAAAAATAATTCATATTTTATTAATATAAATTTGTAAAACAATTTATCTACCAATAAACAAAGATGCTCTGGTACGTTCTTCAGGTGACATCTGAAATAACCCTATGCATTCCTTAGCAGGAAAATGCTAAAGTATATATTGTTTATAATCACTTCAAAAGTAGTTCCTCTTGCCCAAGAAGCCCCTACACATTTCAGTTGATTTATACAATCTTCATCGGGGGCAAGCAAGGCATATACTTGTCACCATGCTTTACACCCACAGCCTTTTAAAATAATTAACATTTCTTCATGTCTGCAATGGCTAAAAGGCATCCAACAAGGACTGGTCCTAAAGCTGTTGTTGGTGTGGGACGTGTTAAGATCTGGGTACAATAATTTCTAGTATAGTTCATGTCCAATGATGTATTGTCACACTTCAACTGATCAACTAAGAAGGCCCAGTGTTTATGATATTGCTGTGGGTGGGTTGCTCCTCTTAACTGACCACAGTCAGTCCTTGCGGTCCCTTGTGTATCTGATGTATGGCTGGGTTGGATGCCTTTCAGCCATCATAGGCCTGAAATATGGCAATTGTTTTATTTGGCTGTGGGTGTAAAGCATGCTTACAAGTATATACCTTGCTTGCCCCCGATGAAGAATGTATAAGTCAACTGAAACAAGTTGGGGCTTCTGGGGCAGGGAGAGCTACTGTTAAAGTGGTTATCAGCAATATACATACACGTTTGTATTTCCCTGCAGAAGAGTACATAAGGGTATTTTAGATGTCACCCGAAGAAAGTACCAGAGCATCTTTGTATGTGTTTTAGATAACTTGTTTTATAAATTTGTATTAATAAAATAAGAATAATTTTTTATACATACACATATTGGGGTTGATTTGCTAAAACTAGAGAGTGAGAAATCTGGTTCAGCTGTGCGTGGTAGTAAATCAGTTTCGAACTTCAGCTTGTTCAATTAAGCTTAAAA